CTCACTGGGATTAAACATGACAATAGGTCTGATCTGATTTCATCATCATTTAAAAAAAATCATTTATTATTTTTCACTTTATGTTTCTGTGTGGGAGCAAACTGTTGAAATCCTTACTTAAGGTATACTAAGCTGATCTTCTATATATTAAGATAATCGAAAATGAATCTTGATGTGAATGGAAGGGGAGAGGGAGTGGGAGGGGGGAGGGTTGTGGGTGGGAGGGACGGTATGGGGGGGGGAAGCCATTGTAACCCATGAGTCGTACTTTGGAAATTTATATTCATTAAATAAAAGATAAAAAAAAAAAAAAAGAATGACAGTTTAAGACCGGATGATCATTTACAGCCCTTGTCTCTACTGTTGAGTAACAGTGTTCTGTTTTGGTTTTTTATTTATTTATTTATTTATTTATTTATTTATTTTTATTTTTTGACAGGCAGAGTGGACAGTGAGAGAGAGAGAGAAAGGTCTTCCTTTGCCGTTGGTTCACCCTCCAATGGCCACTGCGGCCTGCGCACTGCGCTGATCCGATGGCAGGCCGCTGATCCGATGGCAGGAGCCAGGTACTTACCCTGGTCTCCCATGGGGTGCAGGGCCCAAGGACTTGGGCCATCCTCTACTGCCTTCCCGGGCCACAGCAGAGAGCTGGCCTGGAAGAGGGGCAACCGGGACAGAATCCAGCACCCCGACTGGGACTAGAACCTGGTGTGCCGGCACCGCAAGACGGAGGATTAGCCTAGTGAGACGCAGCGCCGGCCGGTTTTTTTATACCATTTGTTAAAATCTTTACTTATTGTGGGGATAATCCTGTGAGTATAATTAAACTGAAAATTGATCTTTGTAAAAATTAAGAATAGGAATAGGAGAGGGAGGAGGAAGAAGGGTGGATGCATGGGCAGGAGGGAGGGAATGATGGGAAGTATCACCATGTTCCTAAATCTGTAAACATGAAATATATGAAATTTGTGTACCTTAAGTAAAATGAAAAAGCAAAAGACATTTAAAGAAAAAAAAATCTGTGTCTCTCTTTCTCTGTAACTCTACCTTTCAAATTCTTTTAAACAAAGCACCCAATCACAGGTATTTAAAAAAAAAGAAAAAGAAACACTGTTTCAGATGCAGATCAGATCCACTCCTAAATCTAGAAAGCACATGGGAATTCCAGCCTAAATGTTCAAAGAAGACAGTAATATTAAAACACTATAAACGTCCAACGTTTGGCCACTGCAGGCTTCCAACTCCTCGTGAAACTCCTGTGCTCTCACCTGCTTTCCAGGACTGGTATTCACAGGGCTGGCTGTGTCACCGGCACCCCTCTCGACAAGGGGACAACCCTTGGTGTTTACAACCTGTCCCTGTCTTGCCACTCTTGGTGAATTCAATATCTTTGAATTTGCGTCTCAAATGTGAAGTCCATGGGACAACAGAGCAAGTGATGGAGAGCAAATTCTCATCAACCTGTGCTCCTGCCTCCAGGGACAGACTCTCTGCAGCCTGGCTGCTCCGCCTCCCGGACCCTGTAACCACCACTTCCTGTCCTGGCCGAGGGCAGGGCTGAGCTCAGGCAGGGTGGGGCTGGGCCTGTGCTTGTGCACCGAGTCAGGAGGTGTGCACTTACCCATAGTGTCTTCGCACCTGAAGGAGCCAGGCATTAAAGAAATGAAAACTATCAAGATAGGTTCACTCTTTCAACAAGCGGTCGTACATTTTCATTTTGCCTTGGGCCCTACAAACTATATAGCTAGCCCTGTTCCTACTTGGTCAAACCATTCTCAAACCAACATTATTTTTTAGATTCCTACCTTAATAACATACAAGTATATGAAATAATAAGTCCAATTTAATGAAAGTATTATTTGATAAAAAAATTCTTAATACTAAATGACAAATAAGATATGTTTGATGTTTCAATGTAAGGGGAACCTCTAAATTATTCTTGCTAGAAGGTATTATTAACAATGCAACATTTAGATCTGTTGTGACTTGACAATATAATGCATGCAATGGAAAAGTGATGGAATATTTTTTCTACACTGAGACAGCCAGGAAAAAATTACTTATTTCTGCACAGTGAAAATATTATCACTCCATATTTTCTATCACATTAGGGAAAGTGTTAAAAAATTCTGTTACTTCCCAGTGATGTTGATGTTTGCCCATGAATACCTGCAGCAGTTTGCCATTATCTGTCTGGCACCATGTTCAAATGGCATAGGCCAGTAGCAACAGAAGAATTAGAAGACAGTCTATTAATATCTTACCTTAAGTTTGGCCAGAAGAAGCTCATGATCGTGAAGGAGTTTTTTGGTTTCGTCTTGATTGCTACCAATTTCTAGAAGATTGGGCTGTGAGTCAGCCACCTGAAGTCGTACCCATTTGCCACACTAAAAATAAAAGTGAAATAAAATACTTTAATTTCCTCTTGGTTTTTTCTCTTCACCTGCCTCCTTTGAAAACTTTAAGTTACACTGTGAATACTTTATTCTTTCTACAGAGATGGACCCTCCTTAATTTGCAACATCAATCTATGCCCTGCCTTTTCTTTTTATACTCTTGAGATAAATTCTTCTTCGTAACCTGGCTTTCAATTCAAAAATTCTCAAATAAGGAACCCATATAGTTGATTATGTATTATTGAATATGACCAAGTTATAGAATCGTTTGTGCAATTTTATGTACCCTTTCTCACTCACCAGACACTGAACTCCATAGAAACAGTGAAACCCCACATGGGCAGGTAGGATGCAGTTTTCCTTTAGGGTCAAGTTTCTGTAATTGCAATTTAGGCCAATTAATGTGCTTATATTGGCCTTGCTGGCTTAAATACAAAGAATAAATTTCAGATAAAGCAATTGATTTTTATACCATTTCCAAGACAAAGTGTAGTATTTCTCAACCTTCATTGCTGGGAAGTATTCAAAAACGTGTCAAAGAAAATACTGATAAAATTAGACACGCGTTTCAACTGCCATTTGAAGGCAGTCTACTTGTTCCTGCTTCTCTGGATTTTCACTGCTTCAAGACATTTCTTATTGCATTTCCTGGGGAACCTGTGTCTCTAAAAAGGTCCCAAATGAGGAACCACTAAGAAGCAAAAGGAAGCAAATGGAACCCCTAACAGGCACACGCACACTCACATAGACCTGTGAATCACTGAAGAGAAATGTGAAAAGTGTGTTTCCATGCAGACTATAATGAATGCCTTGAAAGAGCTTGCAAACAGGGAGTCACTACAGATCAGACTGTGAAGGCAGACCTTCCACTCGGAGTAGCTTGGGGAATTGTATACGCAGGATGCAGTCCATGACGGGGCTGGGCAGGGGACAGTAACAGAACAGTCATAGAAACACAAAAACGTGAAAAATGACTTTCCAGTGTCATGCAGAGGTGTTCATTGTCTTTCATTCAATCTATGAATCCATTGCTGGCCCTCCTCTAATTTATTCATCAGTCCTCATCCTGATCTTAGAATATAGAGGAAAAGAAAAACACATTTGTTTTTGTTGTTGCCTCTTTGCCCCACCGGTGAAATCTGCATGAAAGCCCACGCACAGGATCAGCTCCTGCTACTTCTGCTTCAGGCTTTTCATCACCACCTCTTGCCTTTGAAAAGCTGAGAGGGCGAGGGAGTTGGCCGAGGTCGCCTGGACACGGGGGCCAGGTCTGCACAGCACTGGGAAAGGAGCCCCTTTGGCATCCTTGGCTTCTTTAGTGATTCATTTTGCTTATGTCAAGTTTTGCTTTCCTGTTCAGAATTTCCCCATTACCATAAAAAATCCCAGCAATTGCATCAAATTAAGCAGGGCTTGTCCACGTTCTAACAAAAGGCCAAAGAAGCCATTCAGTGAAGCCTGGGGGGCCCAGGAAATAACTGGCTGAGGAGCACCAGCTTGTGGGTTACATTTCCCTTCTTTCGCTTCTGAATTCTTTGCATGGTAAACTGTGTAAAGCCCAAGCGCTTCTGAGTTTTTTTGCGGTGCATTTTTTTTTATAGGGAATAAAATCTTTGATGTCTCCCCCAACCTGAAGATGTGTGGTTATCCTTGTAAATGGGAAAATTGCTTGGCAGAAAATATGCCTGAACTCTCTGCTTAGAGCAAATTTGGTGAGTGCCCTTTGTACCTTCACTGGGGGAAGCAGTCTTCATTCCCACGAGTGTGACAAGGATTTAGGAGTGCCTTTAAAACGTCAGAAACCAGTGCTGTGTGAGGCACAAGTCTCAACCTCCTCCAAGGCGTTTCCCGTTCTCCATCATGCCCCAAACTGCGCCACCCCCTAACTGCCGGAGCCTGCCCCTCCCAGCCCCGTGCACCCAGTGTCACAAGTCACAAGCATTGCCCAGGCCGGCTGAACACTTCCGCTGGGCGTCCTGAACCTCTGAGCGCGGATGCCTTGCCTCTCAAGACCACACTGAAAGTGTGGGGTAGAGGTTCTGTTTTCTTTCCTTTTTTCCCCAATCACGCTGCTGCAGATGCTGTCTGACTCACTCAGAGGAAAGGGAAACTCCAGTAACCAGCTGAACTCTCGTCGGGCTTTCTCTGGGTGCCTGATTTAACCGACGCAAGAGAAGTCCATGCCGGGTTCCCGTTTATAAGCTGTGCCCTGCTGGGTACGTGGAAGGCTCCCGGGGTTATCCACACATTGCCTAAAGCCCACACCGCCCAGGACAAAGAATGCTGCTGGCTTACCTTTAAGACGGCGATGACGATCTTGGAGTCCCCAGCCTGCACAGCTACGGAACTGAGGGTCGTCGTGGAAAACCCGGCGCCAGGACTTCCCTGGCTGGCCATGGTCCCCGACAGCCCCGAGTTCGGACCTCGGGCGGCCTCGGCACAGATGCGGGCTCTGCTGGTCCTTGCAGAAGGCAACCACCGGGGTTACTTGGATTCATTCAGGGAAAGGCTCGGCTCGCACTGATGACTCTGCCAAAAGAAAAGAACAGGAGGTTAAAAATAGACAACCCCATTGAGCTTATCATGAGAGACACAGAGAAGGAGAGAGCAGGACTAACAAGAGGGAAGCGCCACACCCCTGGTATGGCAACACTAAGTGCCTGCTATTTTTCCCATTATCTTAAACGTAAAGCACGGCTTTGAGCTCTTTGCCTATCAGCTGATGTTTGATTGCAAATGGAAAAAAACTCACATCCTGACAACTCAAATTAGCTTTGCCATTGAAACTAAACAGTCGTAACCACGGACTTTGAAACCGACAAGTCATTGACCTGGATCTCAATCTTTTCAAGTTTCCCTTATGCAAAGAAAAGACACCCAAAATTGACTTTTTAAAGAAGTTCTGATATTTGTTCTGGGGTTTGGTTGCAAAGTTGCTTGAATGAATTTTTGCAGTCATTTGCTTTTCTCAAATGTATCATCACATGTTCTTAGACCCTCTCTTAGGGACACTTTAAAAACATTTCAACCAGAATTTACCAGTAGATGCCTAAGATTTCAGGATTTCTTTTCGACTATTCTGCTGTATTAAGCAGCATGTTTAAATTCAGTTATCACAACTACTAGAAAACAACAGTTTTGCTGTTGCCTCTTAATCGCAGCAAGAACACGAATTTATTCAATTACAGGTGCATGCTAAGTGCGTTTGCCACAGTTTTAGTTTTAAAATGAAAACACTTTTTCAAGGCTTGGTTTTTATTTCTGTCCCTACTCCCTGCACAAGAAAATTATAGCCAGCTTCCAATCAGAGCCCACGATCAGCAGATTAATCTTATTGCTAGAAACCCAGTATGTGTCACAAGTTGTCTGTGGTATTAAACAGCAGCTGTTGAATTCCCTGTCAAAGAACAGCTGAAAATAACACAGGGCTAGGTCAGAGGTCAGACGCAAAGACATCCCAGAGACCAACTCCCAGGCTGCTGGAACCTTCGGAGGTCTCTGGGACGAAGCCAGAAGAGAGGATTCTCGTACAGCAATAAACAGAATTAAAAGGATCCACTGGCTGTAGACTCCCCTTAGCTCAATTTAAAAGCATGTTCAAGTTCAGAAGACTGAGTCAGCACCATGCCTTAGTTGTGCTAAGGTCCATAATAATATTCCAGTGTCAAAAAGGCAAAGTGCTTTTACCTATATTTTGATGTTTGGCAATTGTTTGTGTTTCCAGCAGCAGGTCGTGGGCAGTTCTGCAATGGTGTAGTCGTCACCCAGGTCCCCGGCTCTCAGCATCTGCCTGCTGCTCCAGCGAGATGGAAAGCATAGCTGGACCCCAGGTCCAGTGGGGCACAAACTTCACCAGATGACATGAGGGGAGCAGTTGGAGCAAGGTCAAAAGGACACATGGCAAGACAATATTATATATTTTTATACCAAAAAATGATGGTTTACTGAAATGACAATTTTTATTTATATATTTCAGTAAATATGTCACACTCACCTATACACCTACACAACCATTGCAACTTGACCATAGAACTTAGGTACTTTTATGTCCTACCCATGCACCTCCAGGGGCTAGACTAGAGCATGGACCAAGTAGAGGCCTGTGCAGTTCAGGCAAGGCAATATTATAAATGAGTCATTTACGGTAGGGCAGGAGAGCTCAGAGAACCAACGGACCCAAAATGTTGAAGGCAGGCTCCTTCCACTTGAGCAAATCCATAGTTGATCCTCACAAACCAAAGAAACTGACTGCAACTGGTTTATAGCTACTTGTCACCTTCCAGAATAGTTGACACTTGTGTCACAGAATCCACACCTTCAACTAAAACACCCAAGGAGCACTACTTAAGACACTGTGTACTTTGCCACGCAGAACAGCAAACAGTGACCTGCACTCAAAACACCCGGGGAACTCTCACCCAGAGGTAATCGTGTGTCACAAGTTGCACAAAGGCCCTTGGGAGGGGAGGGGACATTTTGGGAGAGTGGCTCTGTCCTCCAAGCTCCACTTCAGATACATGATTGTGTAATGGGCATAGGGGCAGCACAGAGTGTCTGCAAAGACAGGCCCAGGAAGAAGGGAGGGAGGGAGGAAGAAGTAGCACCCATGGCTGAGAGCCTGATAAATTCCAAGGTTTAAGGGCAAAGGAAATGAGAAATATTTAAGACTTTGGTACAAAGTTAAGCCAGCTATTCAGAAACAAAGGTAGTACCCTTTTGAGTGTGTAGATGACCTCTCTTTTCTGTTAATTAGACGGAGCAGGCCCAGGATGTTACATCAACAGAATGTTTTCTACCTTGGTGGATGAGAGGTATAAGGCTAACAGCCTATATGAATTTAAGTGCCTTTGGCTTAAATTTTTTTAATTCAAATTCATAGCTTCAACATCTTCAAAAAAGTGAATATTTTTTTCTGTTCTTCCCTTGCATTTCTCTTCATTTTTTTCTCCTGCTTAACTTTTTAGTCATTCCCTGGAGAGAAGCCCCATTACTCAGTCTCTGACAACATTGAGTTTATTTAGAACTTTGGCTGAGTTTTCTTTGCCTAAAATAATATTTAATAATGTAATTTATAATTAACTCTGGGAAACAGTTTGGAGAACAGGTAATATATAAAATATATTGTACTAGAGACATGGGTAGACTATTCTGAGATAATTTTTTTAATGTTAAAGGACTAAAGGCTTTGTGAGTTGACAGTTTGCTTATACTCTGTATCCCTTATCATAACCAGAAACCCCCAAATAAAACCAAACCCTTAGAGGCATTCTCTTACCTTTGAAGTTTAGAGGATCTTGCTGTTTAGCCCTCGGGAAAATGCCCGTTTTTATACAAACTGAATTTCAGTGAAATATCCTCCATGGGGAATCAAACTCATAACTACTTTTTGTCAAGTTGCAAAGTGTATATTTTTAATGAAATATTGATAGCAAGGAGTTTGGAAACTTCATTTCATAGGACTATTTTTTACCTCTGTCAATGGGTATGCCATTAAAACATGTTTTCTTTGCTGTAGGTTTCAAGGGGCCCATTTCTATTTTTCCAAACAGGATCATAGGTGTTTGAGTCAGCACTTGTATTAGTTAAACGATATTCAACTTTACAAAGTCAAATTAGATAGACCCGATTTAAATAATTCAGAGTGAGTCTATTTGTCTAGGTTAAAAATTCAAGACAAAACTGTCTACTATCATTAGTGGTAGTAACAATAGTAGTCACAGTTCAAGGACTGTTATCTGTCAGGAACTTAAATATATAAGGCTGGGAAAACTTATTTTCCTGATTCTATAAATGAAACACACATGTTAGACCGTCGGAGTGAGGATGCTAACACGTCGAGAGGCACACCCCAAAGACTCCGACTCCAGACCAGCTGATGCAAAAGCAAGAGGATTTATTCGGCGTCTGCGCAGACGGGCCTCCTGAACTCGGGAGTCCAGAGAGCATCCCCAGTACAAAGCCACACGGTTTATATACCCACAGCGACCAATCAAAAGCACTATAGAGTCCATGCACACAGCAGTCCAATCCGCGAGTTGTTCATGTGAAGGACATGCGTCTTCTATCCAATCAGCTACGGGATCACATGGGAGGCATGCACCTCGTCGCCATTTTGTTGTTAACTTCTTTAGTAGTTCCTTTCCCTGCCAGCGCCATCTTGTTCACCCGGGGAGGGGGGGGGGGCGACGTCTCGCTCCCTTTGTTCCCCTTGTGGGAGAGGGGCGTCCCGCTTCCCATACCGTTATTTGAGAATTAGGTTAGGTCTTAGCACAGCCAGGCACAAGTGTCGCAGCTAGCTAAGCATAGGGTCCCTTATTTTATAGCTGCACCTAATTTTAACTTTGGGGGAAAAAGTTTAGGGCTGTAATTTTAAACTTTAATTTTTATTTGGGGCAAAGGTGACTTCTTATTTTTAATGGTATTGGCTTAGGTCACTCCATCTTGGTTTGATTATTAAGGTTCTTCAACACATACACACACACACACACACACACACTTATATGCAGTGAATCACTGATTTGAGCCAACTCTGGCCCAATTTTTTCTGTCTGGGTTTCAAACCTGTGACTGGATTGGCCCCTTCCTGTCTGCTCAGTCACATAAACCACTCCCACCAGTCCACAAAGGTCATCTTTGCTCTCTCTCTTAATTCAGTTGTTCAACCCAAAAATGTCCTTCCTTTCTTCCCCCAATCTAGTCAAATCCCTTCTGTCTCTTTTTTTTTTTTTAACTTTTATTTAATAAATATAAATTTCCTTGGGGCCGGCGCCGCGGCTCACTAGGCTAATCCTCCACCTTGCAGCGCTGGCACACTGGGTTCTAGTCCCGGTTGGGGCGCCGGATTCTGTCCTGGTTGCCCCTCTTCTAGGCCAGCTCTCTGCTATGGCCCGGGAGTGCAGTGGAGGATGGCCCACGTCCTTGGGCCCTGCACCCCATGGGAGACCAGGAGAAGCACCTGGCTCCTGCCATCGGATCAGCGCGGTGCGCCGGCCGCAGTGCGCCAGCCATGGCGGCCATTGGAGGGTGAACCAACGACAAAGGAAGACCTTTCTCTCTGTCTCTCTCACTGTCCACTCTGCCTGTCAAAATATATATATATATATATATAAATTTCCAAAGTACAGTTTATGGATTACAATGGCCTTTCCCCCCCCCATAACTTCCCTCCCACCTGCAACCCTCCCATCTCCCACATACTGACATCTTAAAGAAAGTGTGACATATCTGTTTTCTTCTCTCCACAAAATTTAGTTGTGGGGCTGCTTTTGTGATGCAGCAGGTTAAGCTGCTGCTTGTGATATGGGCATCCCCTACTGAAGGGTCAGTTCAAGTCTCAGGTGCTCTACTTCTGATCCAGCTTCCTCCTAATGCACATTGTCACCCATGAGGGAGAACTGGATGGAGTTCCAGGCTCCCGGCTTCAGCCTGGCCCAGCCCTGGCTGTTGCAGTCACCTGGGGAGCAAACCAGAAAATGCAAGATCCATCTCTGTCTCACTCTGTCACTCGTTCAAATAAATAATTCTTAAAAACTTAGTTGTAACTTACTAATTATATGCTTGTACTTCTATTGTTTTCTGATTACTTCACTTTTATTAGTATTATTTCTCAAATGTATTTGAAACCTCTTATGGAAAGAACCATGCCTTTTTTATCTAATAAATATAAATTTCCAAAGTATAACTTTTGGATTGTAGTGGCTTTTTCCCCCATAACCTCCCTCCCACCTGCAACCCTCCCATCTCCCACTCCCTCTCCCATCCCATTCACATCAAGATTCATTTTCAATTATCTTTATATACAGAAGATCAATTTAGTATATACTAAGTAAAGATTT